TGTTATCTCCGCTTACCTTGACTCTGTTTTTCCACCCCCGGCCCAGGAACTCCCCACTTACATCCGGGACACCACGCACACCCTCCACCTCCTCCAAGACTTCCAATTCCCTGGCCACCCACACCTCATCTTCACTATGGACATCCAATCCCTGTACACTTGTATCCCACATGCAGATGGCCTAAAAGCCCTCCGCTTCTTCCTCTCCCACAGGCTCAACCAGTCCCCCTCCACCGACACCCTCATCCACTTAACAGAATTTGTCCTTACTCTGAACAACTTCTCCTTTAACTTCTCTCACTTCCTACAGACTAAGGGAGTGCCCATGGGCACCCACATGGGCCTAAGTTATGCCTGCCTCTTTGTAGGACACATGGAACGGTCCCTTTTCCGCTGGCACTATCCCTTACCACTTCCTCCGTTACATTAATGACCGTATCGGCACTGCCTCATGTCCCATGAGGAGCTTGAATAGTTCATCAACTTTATTAACACCTTTCACCCCAACCTGAAATTCACCTGGACCTCTCCGTCTCCATCTGTGGTAACTGCCTCGAAACTGACATCTATTTCAAGCCCACCGACTCCCACGGCTACCTGGACTACACCTCCTCTCACCCACCCTCCTGCAAGAATGTGATCCCCTACTCCCAATTCCTTCGCCTCCGCTGTGTCCGCTCCCAAGATTGAGCATTCCACTCCCGAATATCCCAGATATCCTCCCGTTTCAAGGACCATAACTTCCCTCCTCCTGTGATCGAAAATGCCCTCAACTGCATCTCTTGCATTTCCTGCACTTCTGCCCTCACATCCCCTCCCCCCAACAAAAGTAAAGACAGAATCCCCCTTGTCTTCATGTATCACCCCACCAATCTCCGCATCCAGCATATCATTCTCCGCCACTTCTGCCACCTACAATCTGACCCCACAATCAAAAAGATATTCCCCCCCACCCATGGGGACCGCTCTCTCTGTGACTCCCTCATCCGCTCCACACTCCCCACTAACCCCATACACATGCGGCACCTTTCCCTGCAACTGCAGGAAGTCCTACACCTGCCCATATACCTCCCCCCTCACCTCTATTCAAGGCCCAAAACAAACCCTTCATATCAGATAGGGGTTCACCTGAACATCTGTCAATGTAGTCTATTGCATCCGCCGCTCCCGTTGTGGCCTCCTCTTCATCGGTGAGACCAAATGTAGACTCAGAGAGCATTTTGTAGAGCATCTGCGCTCTGTACGTGACAAATCACAACACCTTCCGGTCGCCAACGATTTTAACTCCCCCTCCCACTCCCTGGGTGACATATCCATCCTGGGCCTCCTCCAGTGTCACAATGACACCACATACAAACTGGAGGATCAATACCTCATATTCCGCCTTGGGAGTCTACAGCCTGATGGCCTTAACATAGAATTCACTAGCTTTAAAATCTCCCCACCCCTGGCCTCATTCTATGTCCAAACCTCCCTCTCATCCCTGCCTCCTTGACCTGACACAACTTTTCCATCTTCTTCCCCACCCTTCCTGCCAACCAATCCCCACTACACCCTACCTGCATCCAACCTATCAACATCCCAGAGCACCCCTGAGCACCAAACCATCATCTCGCAAACCATCCACAACCTCATCACCTCCGGTGACCTCCCACCCACGGCCTCCAACCTCATCGTTCCCCAACCTCGCACTGCCCGCTTCTATCTCCTTCCCAAAATCCACAAACCTGAATGCCCTGGTCGACCCATTGTCTCCGCCTGCTCCTGCCCCACCGAACTGATCTCCAACTATCTCGACTCCATTTTCTCCCCCTTGGTCCAGGAACTCCCTACCTATGTCCGTGACACCACCCACGCCCTCCACCTCCTCCAGAACTTCCAATTCCCCGGTCCCCAACACCTCATCTTTACCATGGACGTCCAGTCCCTCTACACTTGCATTCCCCATGCAGATGGCCTTAAGGCCCTCCGCTTCTTCTTGTCCCGCAGGCCCGACCAGTCCCCCTCCACTGACACCCTCATCCGCTTAGCCGAACTCGTCCTCACACTCAACAACTTCTCTTTCAATTCCTCCCACTTCCTACAGACAAAGGGGGTAGCCATGGGTACCCGCATGGGCCCAAGCTACGCCTGCCTCTTTGTAGGTTACGTGGAACAATCCCTCTTCCGTACCTACACCGGCCCTAAACCCCACCTCTTCCTCCGTTACATTGATGACTGTATCGGTGCCGCCTCGTGCTCCCACGAGGAGCTCGAACAGTTCATACACTTCACTAACACCTTCCACCCCAACCTTAAATTTACCTGGACCATCTCTAACACCTCTCTCCCCTTCCTGGACCTCTCTGTCTCCATATCGGGCAACCACCTAGAAACCGATATTCATTTCAAGCCCACCGACTCCCACAGCTACCTAGAATACTCCTCCTCCCACCCACCTTCCTGCAAAAATGCTATCCCCTATTCCCAATTCCTTCGCCTCCGCCGCATCTGCTCCCAGGATGAGGCATTCCACTCCCGTACATCTCAGTTGTCCTCGTTTTTCAAGGACCGTAACTTCCCCTCCTCGGTGGTCGAGAACGCCCTCAACCGTGTCTCCCACATCTCCCGCACCTCATCCCTCACACCCCGTCCACGCAATAAAAACCAAAAAAGAATCCCCCTCGTCCTCACGTACCACCCCACCAACCTCCGGATCCAACGCATCATCCTCCGACACTTCCGCCATCCCTTTTCTGATGAAGGGTCGAGGCCCGAAACGTCAGCCTCTCTGCTCCTATGATGCTGCTTGGCCTGCTGTGTTCATCCAGCCCTGCACCTTGTTGTCTCTATCAACATCCCACCTACCTTTCCCCAGCCCCACCCAACCTCCCTTCTGCCTTCTTGACCTGACACAACCTGTCCATCTTTTCTCCCACCTGTCCGCCCCACCCATCCCACTGACCAATCCCCACCACTCCCTACCTGCACTCACCTAACACCATCCCACCTACCTACCGCAGCCCCACCCTTCCTCTCAAATTTCCCAGATCCCTTCTCCCTCCCCATTTCTGAAGAAGGGTCCCGATTGAACCATCAACTTTCCTACTCCGCTGATGTTATCATTTTGGTCAATGATCTTTCATCGGAACTGGGTCACTCACTTTTTATCTCTTTTCTAAAAATATTCCAGGACCTGTCAATTCCCAACCCATGACTCTGTCTACTTAGTCTATCTGATTCCTAATATTGATGTTTCTGACACTTTCAGTCGAGGCGCGCCTTGAAAATGTCTTATCGTTCTACATGATACACGAAGAAGCAGTGAGGATCTCACATTGTGCAGATTTCACATATTTACTGTCTAATTCCACTTTTTTCTCAATAACTTTATCCCTTACACCTTTTGCATTTTTACATTATTCTACATCACCAATTTTCCTTTCATTTGCGATATTTTCTGTTTATTTCACTTCAGCATTATGCTGCTTTCCAACATTATTAATCCGGCTGCCCGTCTCCCATCCAAAACTTCCAAAGCTCCGTCCACACCCGCCCCAAGAAAATATGCTAGGGCAAAGGCAAGATATTGAAGATCTGATTTTTATTTTAAAAAAAAAACACCAAACAGCTCTGTGGAGAGAGAAATACACCTTTCCAGTCCTATACGATCGTTCTTTGGAGTTGCACTAAGCACGTGACCAGTTCAACGGAGCCGCGCATAATTCTCCCTTGGTCTCGTGCGCGCGCACAGGGGGCGCGCGGTTTAAAGCTCCCTGAGCAGCGCACCCGTGTTCCGGTGTCTTGCTCTTGGGCCGCATGCGCAATAATTGTGTTGTCCGAAGCGTCGGTTTGTGGGGGATTCGGACTCGATACGAAACGGCGAATCGGCAGCTGCGGGAATGGAGTCGGTGGCGCCAGGTAAAAGGATGGCGCTGGCGCCCTGGGGGTGGTGTGAGGCGAAAAAATGTAATCGTCAGTCATTCAGTAAGAGCTTTGATGGCGGGGGTAGGCGAGAAAGGAAAGGAAGGTATGGCTCTGGGCCCAGTCTCCTGCTCGTAGTAGGAGTGTTGGAGGAAAAGAAACTCTTCTGACTGAAGGCACGATGGGTTGTTTCTCAGGCGAATGTCTAATCGGATACCTGCGGATCGAGGCCTGGCCCGATTCCCCAGCGACGGAGTGAGGCAGACACGTAGTTCAAATCTGTTTTGTAAACAGGTGAAACGGGCTGTGAGTTCCCGGGTGACGGTGAGGAAGCCAGGCCCGGAGCAAAGCCACGGCCTGGAAGCGAAGAAGAAAGTGGCTTTATAGTGAGCTTTTCCTTCTACCCTTTTCCCACGGCCTTGTACAGAACAGCCGAGCGTGTTGGAGCGACTTATTTGTTTAGGTCGGAGAGCTTCGTACTGGCGGGATATGTTCATACTGAGGAAAGTCTTTAACAAGCCTGCTTTCTCTTCACCCATGGGGCGCAATAACTCGGGACAGCGGGGAGGGGGGGCGTATACATGAGTTTAAAAAGCTTTAAGATTGGGTTGTATTGGTTGTCCCCTTAACAATAAAGCATCCCGTGAGAAAGAACGTAACATCCGCCTCCAGTAAGCTTATATTGGAGCAGTAGTAGACCATTCGACGTCTCAAATTTAATAAGATCAATTCATTGCGATTTGTTAATGATCAAAATTTGTTCTGTCTCATATACTGGTTGATTTAAAGCACGACGAAAGGATATGTGCAGAACTTACTGTTTTCAAAGAAAGAGGATGAAATTAGAATCGAAATTCTGTTTAACATCGGTTTATTTCCTATTTTTTGTTTGGGTCAATGCTTGGTCTTCGGTTGCAGAGCCATCTAACGCAAGGATCTTATAAAGTAGCATTCCAAGAATCCGTCCCTATACGGTTTATTTTTGTTCAAGGCAATGTCTTTTCATTTGTCGGTTTAACAAATGTAGTAGTAAAGAGAAAAAAGTAGTCTTTTTTTCGTGCACAGTGTTGGATTTTGATTTCATTTAATTTTAACCTGAGTATCGGGATTTTCCACTGTCAGTTTATCCTACATCAATACTGGATGAACTACAGTTATCTCTAAGTAAAAATTGAAAGACAAAACTCATTGTCTTTGGCCTATGCCACAAACTTTTGTTTGCCTTCCCATCAATTTCAGCTCCATCCCTGGCTACTGCCAACAACTTCAGTAACTTGCTTCAACCTTGTTGAATTTAGAACTTAACTTCTCCATCATAAAGACCCCACAATTTCAATTTCTGTCCTGTCACCTATTTCTGTCTCAACTCAGCTTATTTACTGCTCAAAATGTTGGCCATGCTTTGGTCACCTTCAGACTAGACTATTCCAATGCATTCTTTGTTGATCTCCCACCGTCTGTCCTTCATAAAGCTCAGCATGTCCAAAATTCTTCGTATAAGCTGCACCAAATCCCATTTACCTTGTACTAACCGAATTAAATTGGTTCCCAGTCCAAAGTGCCTAAACTTAAAAAAATCTCTTTACTGTTCAAAAAAAAGCTATCTGGATGGGGACATGAATAGGAAGGGTTTGGAGGGATATGGGCCAAATGCTGGCAAACGTACATCTCTGACTCTGTGTCCATGTCCTCAGTGGGCCCCATCTTTAACCTACACCCATTTTAAAATCCTCTGACACCTCTTCCTAATGAGATATTACACCAGGGATCCAACTGCCTGCTCCTTTGGATGTAAAAGATCCTATGAAATGTCTGAAGAACAGCAGAAGAGTTACTCCTGGTATCCTGTTAAATATTTATCACTCAAGTCAACATCTCTGCAAAAATCTGATTACTGTTGTGATGGATTAGTTTAATTTTCACTTGGATGCAACCGAATTCAGTTAAAATGAAATGAGGGAAGAGAATGAGGACAGTTCAAATGCTTTATAGCTTATGAAGTACTCCTGAGTATAGTAACTATTCTAATGTAGAAATGTTAAATTACTTATGTAATTAAGCAATAGTCCATTTTTGGACTTTTGGCAATAATCATCAATCTCAAATTTTGTGTAAAAGTAAAATTACAATCAACAATTTGCTGTAAACAAACCCCCATTCCTTATCATTAGGAAGCAAGTCAAAAGACTTGCCAAAAAAAACTATTCATTATCGAGTAGAGTCATCTATGGCTGTATGACTAGTCCACACTTCTCCAAGTCAGAAGGTTATGAGATTATATCCCAAATCAGAGATTCAAACACAAAATCAAAAGTCTCAGTGTAATACATTGCAGTGGCTCAAGAAAGCAGCTCACCATCACCACCTCAATGGCAACCAGGAATGGGCAATAATTGTTGGTTTAGCCAGGGATGCCCATGCTCCAGGACTGACTGCAAAAAAATTAGGACTGGTGCAGATGAGACATTAAACCAAAGCCCTGTCTATCCTCTCAGATAAGTAAACAATCTCATGTCACTATTTTGAAGAAGAATAATTGGTGTTTCCCTAGTATTCTGGCAATATTTATCCCACAACTCCCAACCAACACTGTTGAAACAGATTTTCTAGCTATTATTGTTTTGATGTTTGTTGGAGCTTTCTGTATGTAAATTGGTAGCTGTATTTCCCGTGTTACCATGATGATTGTATATTTAAAGTGCGTTGGCTTTAAAGTGTTTTGGAACTTCCAGCGATTACGAAAGATGCTATATATAAATGCAAGTCTTTGTTTTGCACAGAAGGTTTGGTTACATGAAGAGTTGTATTACGTGAAATGGTCATGCCAAATCTGACAGGAATATGCATGGACAGCCATACTTATCATGGACTGGAGTTTCTACATGATAATGACTTAATCTGGCTACAATCAAATGAACTAACATAGATGATTAACTTGTAACGATAAGTATGTTAGCAACGAAACCACTTTACACTTGTGACCGTAATCTTTTGTATTAGTTCAGTGATGCCTTTGTTCAAAACACACCTGCCCACAAAATTGTCCATGCCACCAGGAGTGAGATTGATCATATTTTACTGCGAGATGCAGACATCTGTGCTCCCAAGAACCTGGTCAAATTTAACTCATTGATCAGATCTGCCATGCTGCCCAAAATTTAGTTTCCAAGATTGCAAGCATCAAGTGGGTCTATTGATGTAACAAGGTGTGGAGCTGGATGTACACAGCAGGCCAGGCAGCATCAGAAGAGCAGGAAAGCTGACGTTTCGGGTTTGGACCCTTCTTCAGAAATGAGGGAGGGGAAAGGGGGTGGGTTTCCTCCCACAGTCGAAAGATGTGCAGGCTAGGTGGATTGGCCATGCTAAATTGCCCATAATGTTCAAGGATGCCTAGATTAAGGAGATAGTTCTGGGTCGGATTCTCTGAGGGTTGGTGTAGACTTGTTGAGCCGAAGGACCTGTTTCCACACTGTAGGGGTTCTATGATGATGATGATGATAAGGTGGCAGATGTGAGGATCCAGGGGGTTAAAATTTGAGGAGCCTCAACGCCTGCCTTTGACTAACAGTTAAGAGGTTCTTGTAAACTGTGTAGATAAGATTGGGAACTGCAAGGAAGGTGAGCAAACTAACCACAGCACCTTGGTACGTGGTGTCATTCAGATTGGGGCAGAAAATAGGAATGTAGATCTGGTAGGGAGCAGTATTTTGGAGGTATAAATGCTGTTCTCTGCAGCTGTGAGTGGGAGTCCCATAGGCTATTTGCTTGCTTGGTGCCAGGGTTAAGGACATCTCCTTGGGGCTGGAGGAGAACTTGGAGAGGGAGGGAAGAGATGCAGTAGCCATTGTCCATGTTGGTACCAATAGAATTAGTAGAAGTAGAAAAGAGGGTTTAATTTGAAAATTTGAATAGATTGGAGCTAAATTAATGGTTTTTTTACTTAAATACACATAGTATTGATAACAAAATAAATGAATTAACAATACAAATACAGGTTAACAGATATGATCTTCTAGCTATTATGGAGCCATGTTACAAGAATTTCAAGGCTGGGAACTAAATGTTCAGAGATGTGATATTTTGAAAGTGCAGGTAGGAAGGAAAGTTTGGTGAGGTAGCATTATTGGCACAAGATGGAATAGATTGGATAGAAATAAGTGGTCTTGGATTGAAGGATGTAAAATTCCTATGGGTGGAGGTAAGAAATAAAAAGGAATGAAGTCATTGGTAGGAGTAGTCATTGTGCACCTTAATATCTATACAGTGGGAATGAGAATAAATCAGGAGATAGAGGACATATCATTGGTGATTCTAATCTTCATGTTGATTGTGAGAGTCACATTGGCAGTGGAAGTCCGAGGAAGAATTCAGTGTGTATTGGGATAGTCTCTTAGAACAAGGGATCAGTCTCTTTTATAGATCTGGTGTTGTGTAATGAGGCAGGTTTACTAAATGATGCCAGAGTAAAAGATTCCCCTCAGAAACAGTGGCCACAACATGGTAGAATTTAGCATTCAATTTAATGTGCAAGAACATGGTTCAGAAGCAATTTTGCTAAATTCAAATAAGGGTAATTATAACGGAATGAGGGCAGAGCTGGCTGGAGTGGGAAAGGACTTTAGCAGCAAAGAGGGTTTAGGAAAATTGGCAACATTCTAAGAAGCTAGGAACAGAGCGATCTCATACAGATCCCAAAGATCCCTGACAGTGGCAGGACAGGTTAATAGGGCAATATGGAACACTTGCCCTTGTTAGCCATGGCATTGGTTATAAGAGCAGTTGGTTATGTTGGAGTAGTACGAAGCTTTGGTTAGGCTACAGCTGGAGTAATGTGTGCAGTTCTGGTTGCCACTGTAGGAAGAATATGATTACACAAGTGGGTGCAGAGGAGAGTCACCAGAATGTTGCCTAGGATGGAATAGTCTAGCAATGAAGAGATATCTTGGGCTGTTTGCTTAAGAGCAGAGAACACTGAGAGGGGACCTGCTTGAAGTATG